AGGCCCTTGCTCTGTGGAATCGAAGGGGAAGACCCTAACTGTCTGGGTCCCACGACCAACCAGCGAGTTTTCTTCTCATGCACGTGTTTTGCTTTCTTTTCCTTTCTGAACATTTGGATTTAATTTAGCAAATACCACGAATGGAAGAGAGCCATCATGGTTATGATGGGGAACGTTACTAAAGATAGCTGTGAGAACACACTTCTCTGATGCCCGCTGCTGCTCACGGGACCGAGAAGAGTGGTCCTCACTCACTGCCAGCCCAGCTGAGGGACTCATAGAACCAACCTTCGGCTTGAGACAGATCAGAGGGTCTCCAGGCAGGGGGCGGGCCTGGACCACAAGGAGGGAAAGGAGAGTGGCACGTGTGATTCGAACACATGTTCAGCATTTTTATTGGTTATTTGGAAAACGAAAAATAAACCTATTGTTTTCAGAATACAAATGACAAAAAGTAAAATATCAGGCAAATTTTTTTTTTTTCCTTAGGAAGATCAGCCCTGAGCTGACATCCATGCTAATCCTCCTCTTTTTGCTGAGGCAGACCGGCTCTGAGCTAACATCTATTGCCAATCCTCCTCCTTTTTTTTCCCCAAAGCCCCAGTAGATAGTTGTGTGTCATAGTTGCACATCCTTCTAGTTGCTGCATGTGGGACGCGGCCTCAGCATGGCCGGAGAAGCAGTGCATTGGTGCGCGCCCGGGATCCGAACCCAGGCCGCCAGTAGTGGAGCGCGCGCCTTTAACAGCTATGCCACGGGGCCGGCCCCTGGCAAGTTTTGACTGACAAGCATATGCCGAATGTATAGTCATTTCTAAAATTAACTTGGCATAAGACACGTGTAGGATGCTCTAAACTTATTCCTATTTCATATAAAATTTACTGTTTTACACTAAAGAATGCACTTATTGATAACATTTCTTGTTTTGATGCCCATATTTGTTTCATTTAAATGGGAACTTCAATTTTGCAATTACTATAATACAATGCACAAAAAGGGAGTATTGGCTGAGTTTTTTTTGGTTGTTGTGTTCATCCTGACTTTATAAACTAGAAAGCAGAAGATTACCAAGAAAAATAATTTAGAACCCGGTCTAGGCACCATTAAATAAAGGGAGATATTAAGCCATGAATGCAGCAAAATAGGGAAAATGAGAGAAAATTTTGCACATTGGGGTTCAGGCACAGACAAGGATTTGCAGCAGCCCAGCCCCACCAGCTCCGATGACACAGCTCATTGCTTTGTCCTCAAGACCAAGTGCCCCAGCAGGTCTCTTCCTCTCCTTTGAGGAGCTGAGACGGTGATCATAAGAAAAAATGTATGAGGGACCATCAGATATGGTTTCTCCTGTTCCCAGTTGTAGGGATGGACTCCCTCCATAAAATACCCACAAAGCGCCCTGTTCTGATGCCTTTTGGGCTCTCAACTTGAACCACATCTGAGTAAAAATCACCCATATCTTCTGTTAAAGTACTAAGAGGTTTTTTCTATCCTCAAGAGCAAAATTCCAGGTAATTCATAAGCTTAGACACTGAGGAAACACATGCATAGGTTTCTATAAGGGCTCTGGAAGTTTCCTATGACGTAAAACGTTTTACTGTAAATAACAAAACACATCACATGGAAAAAAGCCTCTTAAAGGCTTGCGGTGAGATGCTTGCCAAAAGACTAAAGAAAAATACCAAAAGATATCTTTGTTCTAATCTATTACCAAATATGAAATTGATTATTTTAGCGGAAGATATAACACTTTTTTTTGCAGTCAGTGTGACGAATCTACTGGCGAAAGAGTCTGTACTTGATTACTTGTTTCTGCTTGTTTGTGGCTAAAGATACGATGGAAGAATGTCGTCTCCTCGAACTGGTGATCTCTTGGAGCTGTGTCAAAATGCTCTCAAAGCAAATGAACTTATTTGGGAAAAATATGCTCATCATGAGTGTTGGAGTTGCTCTAGGAATGTGGATATTTGTGTGTGTGTGAAAAACCACAAGAAAAACAAAAACGAAACTCATCTGTGTGGAGATACACGGCTTCCAAAACTTTGACTGCAATCTATAATAACAGACTCCCTTTTAAGACGATCAACTATGTGAAGATTATCAGTATTCTTTGGATGATGTGAATGCCCATTAATTTGTTCTTGTTCCTTTCTGAAGCTTACTCCATTGTCAAGACCGGGTTAGGGGATTTATAAGCTGAAGGCCGCAGTTGCCGTATTTTGCAGACCACCAGGGAAGACGGCAGCTGTTTTTAACTTTCAAAATGATCACTTTCAACGGAGTTTGGCATATTTGAATTTTTGAACATACTAATCCTCAAACCTCAAGGGATGTAAACCAACTTCAATGTTCATTACGACATACTGTAAGCTTTCATCACTAAATCCAACAGTAGAGTCAATGAACTGATGTTTTAAAAAGCCTCTTCATGTTCTAGACTTAATAAAACTCTAAGGTAAAGGTTCTAGATAATAAATTTAAGAAAAAACACATTGAGTCTTATCCAGTTTACCAACAGGATGACTTCAGATGATCTTTTTGTGATGTTGTGGCAGAAAATTCCACTTCAAAGTTACGAGGATTTCTGTTCTCTCTAATGCTCAGTTTTCATTTGGGGAGCTCGAAAATAACTCTTAGAACTTATCTTTGCTTCACCTCTAAAATGTAACTCACAGAAAAAATACTTGGAGAATAGGGACCGGGGGAGCAGAGGGTCACCACACTCACACAAAATAAACCAGCAGCTCACTTAGAAAGCTTGAGTGCATTTTCATCCCCCTCCAAGGGCTGTGTTTTCTGCCCCTCCGGAAATGAAATCGAAGCAGCCCCACGGCCCTGACACAGAAGTGACTTTGTGCTCCGACTTCTACGGTGCCAAGGGAAGAGGGCATGTGGCAAGCTAGCCAGCTCGTGCATGTCAGTGGTACAAGGCCACAGGACACAACACACGGCCTTCAAGATCA